AAACAAAAGCACTCCAATGCAATGAAGACTATTAAGGCAGCCAACTGTCATCAGAGAAATTAGAGGAACTATTAGAACAGATGAGCTGGAGCAAACCCCAGGAGAATCATTTTTAGGATGCACCATCTGTACCTTTAAAAATGCATCAATATCCCCAACAGCTGGAATAAAATCAGGAATGAAAGGTTTCAGTTTATGGTCCAGATCAATCAGCTGAGGTGTGTACCTACAAGAGACAGTTGAGGGAAGGTGGAAGCAGTCAGAAATGTCAGAAACGTCTGGGCCAAAAAGCATCAGAAGCACTTAGTGTTGCTTGGAACTAGGGAGTGGAATGGCTCAGGCAAGGCAGGCCAGGTCGGGTCCAGCAGATGCTCGAATGCTTACCGGCTGATGTACTCAAAGAGCTCCTTGATCTCAGCTGAGACCGGCAGATGCTCATAGTCTGCAGGATCGTAGGCCCTGGGGAGGGAGACACAGGCAGGTCAAAGACACCCTCGAGGAGCACAGGCGGCAGGGCCCTGGCCATGTGATCTGCACCATAGCGATGTGAGCCTGAACTGACCACCTGTCCCGCCTACTTTCCTGATGGCTTACAGAGAAACTTTGACATTGATTATAATTACCTCTCAATGATCTCTAAGGAAAAAGCTTCAGAAAACCCATGTGATTTTTTAAAATTTTATTTATGTACTTTTTCTTAGGTATAAGTGCTCTGTCTGCATGTATGCCTACATGCCAGAAGAGGGCATCGGATCCCATTATAGATGGTTGTGAACCACCATGTGGGTGCTGGGAATTGAACTCAGGTCCTCTGGAAGAGCAGCCAGGGCTCTTAACCACTGAGCCATCTCTCTAGCTCCAATTATTATTATTATTAATATTAATATTATTATTATTATTGTGTATGGGTATTTGCCAAGTATGTCTGTGCATCACGTTTATACTTTATGCCCAAGGAGGCAAGATTGTGTCACATCCCTTGAGATTGGAGTTACAGACAGCTGTGAGCTTCCCTGTGAATTCTGGGAACTGAATCCAGGTCCTCTGTAAGAGCAGCCAGTACTCTTCACCACTGAGCCATCTCTCCAGGCCCCACAACATGACTTTTAAAAATCTTTGAGTATTCATGTGTTTGCATGCATGTGTGGTGAATGTAATGCATGCACACGTGTGCAGGCGCACATGCCAGGGAATGCACATGGAGGTGAGTGAGGGCTATGGTGTGTAAGTGAACAGATGTGTGCATGAAGGTCAGAGACAACTGGAGGGCGTTGGTTCTCTCCTTCCACCTCATGGGTCCCAAGGAATGAACTCAGGTCTTCAGGCTTGGTGGCAGGAGCCTTTTCCCTCTGTGCCAGCTGACCCAACCCTTGGGTCTTCTGAGATAGGGCCTTGTTGTGTATGCAGCTCAAGCTGGTGACAGGCCCTCAATACTCTTGTTTCAGCCTCCTGAGTGTTGGGATTACAGGTCTTTGCCACCATGTCCAACTTACTAAATATATTTTATACATTTTTTGAAAAGATTTATTTTTTATCTAGATATGCTAGTGCATGTGCATGCACATACATGTACACTGCAAAAACCAGAAGAGGGCACTGGATCCCCTGGAACTGGAGTAACAGGTGAATTTGAGCCAGCCAACATAGGTGCTGGGAACCAAACTTGTGTCCTCTGGAAGAGCAGGAAGCACTCTTAAGCACAGAGCCACCACACTTGGCTGCAACATACACTTTCAACAAGTAGACAAAATTTTGATTGGTTATTTCACCATTTAGTTCACTGGTAATTTTATATACATAACTTCTTAATTTTTTGTTATACTTAATCTGTTTATTTTAAGATGAAGCCTTGCTATTGTTGCCCAAGTTGGCCTTAAACTACTGGGTTCAAGGGATCCTCTTATCTCAGCCTTCCAAGTAGCTGAGACTTTGGGTATGTGCCATTACACTTGGCTAGTAATTATATTTTGTATGTTTGTTTTGCAGTTCTGGGGATTGGACCCATGGCCTCACATACAGAGGCAAATACATGACCACAGAGCTGTATCTATATCCCCAGTGTAGATGTTGATTATAACTTACAGGAGTGAATTATGACTCCCTGTGACAACGGGGCTGCAACAGAATCAAATGTTGTTGTTGTTGTTGTTGTTGTTGACTTAGCACCACCCGAGAACCTTGCCTCTTCTCTCCTGTCCCAAAGGATCTCAGCCTACAGTGGAAATGCTTATGTGCATGTAGTTTGCCTCCTAGACAGACAGGCTTTGGTATATGCCCAAGTGCACTTTTTCCCCAAACTGGGAGCTCCTGAAGGCAGAGGCCATGCTTTTGGTTAACCCTGTGTATTTGCTGAGCCCACACGTTTCAGATAGTTTGGGTGACATCACAGGAGCAGATCAGGCAGTGGAGCCAGAAAGAAATGACAACTCACCATGCCAGGCTCCTGAGACATGAGAAAACCCTAAGCAGACGATATCAAAAGATGCTGCAGTCTATTCCCAGGTAAGCTCTTCTAACTGCCACCTGAACAAAATCCCCCTTGGCGCAGGGTCCTTCCTACCCTTCCAGAGGCGCTCCGTGCTCCTCATCATCATCGTCATCATCAGAATCAGTCTCGGATGAGTCATCGTCGTCGTCATCATCATCGTTTTCACTGAAGCCCCGCTGTGGCGTCAACTGTGAGGGCTTCTTCTTCTCCTGGGCAGGCGGGCGGCAGGGGAGAAACAGTTACAGAAAGAGAACTTCACTTCCCATGCCTGACTCTGCACTGTTCTCATAGTGCCCACAGACCTCTGCCACCTAGCCACTAGAAAGAAAGATGGCACCATCCCCAGGGGCCTGAGAACCTTTCCTTGCTAAGTAAAACCGCACATTCTCCAACCATGGTTTTCTACTAGAAACAGGGTACAAAGTCTACTCAACTTATAGTTAGGAACCTGTTACTTGATCTTGGAAGCTATGCATCAACTTTACTCAGAAGCCTCACGCCCTAAATTTAGAAAAAGGTAATAGGGCTTTTACTCTTTTGGGGGCCCACCACCCAGCTCCCAAATAAATCACACACAGAGACTTATTCTTACTTTTAAATGTCCAGCCTTAGCTTAGCTTGTTGCTAGCCAGTTTTCCGTAACTTAAATTATCCCATCTAGCTTTTGCCTCTGGGCTTTTCCTGTTCTCTTACTCCTGTAGATCTTATTCCATGGCTTGCTGTGTAGCTGGGTGGCTGGCCCTTAGAGTCTTCCTTCTTCTCCAGCTGCTGCAGCTTCTCCCCTCCCACATTTCTTCTCTATATATTCTCTCTGACTGCCAGCCCCACCTATCCTTTCTCCTGCCTCGACATTGGCCGTTCAGATCTTTATTAGACCATCAAGTGTTTTAGACAGGCAAAGTAACACAGCTTCACAGAGTTAAACAAATGCACCATAAACAAAAGTAACAGACCTTAAAATAATATTCTACAACAGGGTACCCGCACTCACATTCACATACCCACACTCCTGCATGCACACACACGCACACACACACACACACACACACACACACACACACACACACACACTTATACATAATTAAGGGTAAAACAAATCATATAGAGTGGAAGAAAACGCTCAGTGGCCAAGAGCACATACTGCTCTTGCAGAGGACCAGAATTTAGCTCCTGACACCTACAAAAGGCAGCTCACAACCTCCCCTCCTGTAACACTAGCTCAAGGGGAGCTGATCTCTTCTGGCCTCCATGAGTACCTGCACTCACATGCCCAGACACACAAACATAATTTAAAAATAGAATAAACATTGGAAAAGGGTGACAACTTGAGGAGTTTAGGGAGTAGGGAAAGAAGAAGTGGGGCAGAGAAACTTTATAGGTGTACGGAACTCATAAAGATCATAGAGAAACCTAGCATCTAATTTGTAAGAATGCTCAGAGTAACGGCTGGAAACTATCACGAGAATAAGTGGATACTCAACCCTGAGTCTGGATTCACACAAGACAGTAGGGGATTCCTATTTCTGCTCAGTGGTTTCTCTACAGTACCTTTCCCTGTGAGGTAAGTGACTATGTACTCTAGTTCAGGATGAGGGCTCCTCTGTCCTTGGCATTACAGCCTAAGTTTGTTTGAGTTTTTTTTTTTTTTTTTGTCATTGTCATTGTTGCTGGGTTTTTTGTTTTTGTTTTTTTCCAGACAGGGTCTTATTGTGTAGCCCTGTCTGTCCTGGAACTCACTCTGGAGATCCACTTGCCTCTGCGTCCTGAGTGCTGCGATCAAAGGCGGTGCCACCACCACCCGGCAACAGCCTACATTTTTGAGCTGGCTGGCTATGCCCCATCCTATGCTCTCAGGTCCTTGAGAGAGGGTCGAGTGGTATCTGCACTTGCAGAGACAGTTGGGACAGGGTCCTTATCTTTGTCTCTGTGGCCTGTAGCCTGTAGCATGCTTTCCCTTGGGACCTGACAGGTGGTCAACTAGCCTCCTTTAAAAGTAGCTTTTAGGGTCTGGGGAGATAGCTCAGGGGTTAAGAGCATTGTTAAGGATCTGGATTCAGTTCCCAACACCCACATGGCAGCTCACAACCATCTATAATCCCAGTTTCAGGGATCCAATGTCCTCTTCTAGCCTCCATGGGCACAAGGTACACATGGTGCATGAAAATATATGCATAGAAATATATGCAGGAAAGTAGGCAGTGGTAGCAAATGCCTTTAGTCCAGCACTTACTTGGGAGGCAGAGGTAGGCAGATCTCTGTGAGTTCAAGGCCAGCCTGGTCTACAGAATGAGTTCCAGGACAGCCAGGGCTACACAGAGAAACCCTCTCAACAAAAACAAAAAACAAAAAAATTGACTGTCGTTTTAGAAATTGTTCAAAAATAGATGGCTTCTTCTAGTTATAGGTGTGTACTAAATTGGAAAGATAAACCAGCCTTGACTACCGTCCACTGCATGAAGCCTCAAAGAATGTAGTGTCGCTCCACCAACTGTGGAGACCAACCAGGAAAAGGGCTTACTTTTCTCTGACTGTTCTTCAGAGTCATGCTTTGGGAACTTCCTGACACAATGTCAGATGCTTTCTACAGACAAATGGCTAGGAGACTATCTTGTGTATGATAAAATGATGTACTAGTCACAGAGTGAGACCTTAAAAACCTTACTTCCTAATGTTTTAATGTAGTCAATTTGTATCATTTCAGCTTCTTGCATTACTATAAATACTCTTCATATAAATTTCCAAAGTTTTTGTTGTTGTTTGTTTTTTCCTTTTTAATTCTATGTGTATAGGTGTTTTGCTTACATGTATGTCTGTGCACAACATGAGTGTTTGGTGCCCATGGAGGACAGAAGAGGATGTTTCATTCTCCTGGGACTGGAATACAGACAGTTGTGAGCAGCCATGCAGGTGCTGGGAATTGAACCTGGGTCCTCTGGAAGAGCAGCCAGTGCTTGTAACTACTGAGCCATTTCTCCAGCCCATTTCTTTGTTTTATGGTGCTGGGGATTAAAGCCAGGGCCTTAGGGATGCTAGGAAAGTACCAATCTCCAGTCATCAATGCCCCTAATTAAAGGACAATAAAAATGTGAGGAGTTTTGTTGTTTATGAGACAGGGTTTTTCTGTAATCCAGTCTGTGCTGGAACTCATTATGGAGTCCAGGCTGACCTTAGATTCTTCATCCTCCTGCCTCAGCCTCCCAAGTTTTGGGATTATAGACATGTGCCACAATAACCAAGGACAAATAAGACATGAGCAATGGGCCAGGAGTGGAGGCCGAGCATAAAACGGTGCCATGCAGGGCACAGGCGCCACTCCTAACTGGCTAGACTACGGTGTTCCCAGCCTTTCTCAAAACAAGTGACTGCTCACAGGGTAATAGCTGTGTCTTCTTAAAACATCGATGTTTCATAAAATATTGGCATCACCACAAGTGCTGGGAATAAAATCATCCCTGGGCCAATAACTCCAAACTTGCTTAGCATACGAATTGCCTACGCTGCTTATTCAGCACTGCTTATTCAGGAGGCAGAGACAGGTGGATCTGAGTTAGAAGCCAGCCTGCTCTCAAAAGCAAGTTCCAGACCAGCTAGGGCTACACAGAGAAATCCTGCCTCCAAAAAACAAAACAAAACAAAATTTACACACACCCACACCCACACCCACACCCACACAAAGTTCTTAGGCAGTACCTTTGAGATTCTGGGAGGGAACTACGAATCTATACTTTTATTTATCACTATTTTATTGTGTATGTATCTGGTGCCCAAAGTGGCCAGAAGAGAACAGAGATTCCCGGAACGGGAGTTACATAAGGTTGTGAGCTGCCATCTGGGGGCTGGGAACCTTTCTCTAGAAGAGCAACCAGTGCTCTTAACCGCTGAGACGTATCTCTAGCCAAACAATGAATACATGTACACACACACACACACATACACACATTTTTGATAGGGTTTCTCTGTGTAGCCCTGGCTGTCCTGGAACTCTCTGTAGATCAGGCTGGCCTCAAACTCACAGAGATTTGCCTACCTTAGCCTTCCAGTGCTGGGATTAAAGGCGTGCACCACCACTGCCTAGCTGGAATCTGTATTTTTAAGAGCAAGTATCCTAGTCAATTTTTATAATCAATAAACTCTGAAACACTGTCGATTTTAGATGAAGCTCCTCACTAAAAGCCAGCTACAGGGGATGGAGAGATGGCTCAGTGGTTAAGCACAGTGACTGCTCTTCCAGAGGACATGAGTTCAATTCCTAGCACCCACATGGCAGCTTATAGCTGTCTGTTACTCCAGTTCCAGGGTTTCTGACATCATCACACAGACATACACGCAGGCACAACGCACATTTCAAAACATCAATGCACATTTCAAAAAAAAAAAAGCCAGCTGTGATGACAGTCTTGAGTCGGGGATGGTCTCATCAGTAAGTGTGAAGCCACTAGAGGTGAGTGCTCAGGACATGCTTCCTGCTGACTCGGGTCCCCTCACACCCACCCCCAGAGCCCTGAGGAAGCTGTGGGCTGTACTGCACCTTGTTTTCCTCTTCGTACTCGTCACTGCTGTTGTCGGCCATAGTCTTGTTAGGGAGGCCAGCAGAAAGAGGGGGGCCTTAGAGGAAGAGTTTCCCAGTTAGTG